AGTCTGGTTAAGTGCCTACGTGTAATTTAAGATTAGTAATCCGAGCATGGAAACACATTAGAAATCATTGATGAACAAGGTAGCAGTTAAAGTTTCCTTTATGTAATATTATGCTAGCTAAGAAGCAAGGAAGACACAGAGCAGCACAGAATGTTCCCATGTTTACTGTCACTGCTGTAGTCCCTCTATTTGTTTTGAGGAGAAAATTTCACTTTGGTGAGAAAGTAGCTTCAGAATCCATAGATGAGTTTTCAAAATGACCAATTTCTAAAACATAACAAGAATAGTGCCTTAATCTTAAGCAGCTGCCTGGATATAGATAGATTTAGTTAGTAAAAATATAGCTTTATATAATAAGGTCTTTAATTTATGGATGAATTCACATGCTTTCTGACTCTGGATAATTGTCATTGCAGTGTTTTATGCTGTAGCTTTCTCAAGCATTTTGCATTTGCTCTGCTGTTTTTTTCCTTTTTTACAACCGTGCTTTTAATTTAATGTGGTTGTTTTAGCAAAGGCTGCAGTATGCAGTGCTGTTTGGTCTTTTTTTTTTAACTCTCAGTCGTGATGCAATCTGCTTATTCAATGCAACAACAGCACACATGACCCACTTTGAGATGTGAGTTTGTTTTGCAGCAGACAGAACCAGTCGGGCTTCGGGTGGCCGTTTGCCCTGCACTCGCTGTTTTCCTGGAGTCCGGTTATAAAAAGCAGACTTTAGACCGTGACTGTCTAGCAACCTCTTGGATCCCAGAGGTGTGGATAGAGCCCCTACTCTGGGCACTCGCTCTGTGGTGCTCGTCATGGACAGAGGGCAAAGCCTGTGGTACCGTCAGCTGGACGGTGCAGACCCTTCTCCTTTGGGTGACAGTGACATGCTGAGGTAGGACAGCCCTTGTGTTATTTTAATGCTGGAGACACTGAGAGACAGACTCTCTCTTGGCATGTTGGTTTCTGTGGCAGTAACCGTATAGCAGTTTCTGTACCACAAGGACAGGGATTTGGAGACTGAGACCGCAGACAAATAGCAGAATGATTTGTGCTAAGAGTATATTCACTTACTATCTCCTGGAAATGTATACTGGCATGTCTTATGCTACAGAAAAGAAGAATGCAGGATTTGGCATAGCCATAAGAGTTACGATGATGTGAATGAAATTTGTGGATACAAATAAAATACAAATAAAGATTTTAAGGGCTAAATACAGGAAAGGGCCAGTAAATTGTGTAATTCAGTAGTTTACGTACCGGATGTGGGTATGTTGATTGTGTGCTCCTGTCTGACATTACGCTACAATGTCAGTCAGTAAAACATGGCTTAATTCAGTGAATCATTCACTAGCTCACAGATTTATATTAATGCATCTTCATTTATTAAACAATAAATCAGAAATGTGAAGAGAACCGTGTGCTGTCATCTAGTTTTTTTTTGCTTCTATAAAGTTATTTCATGGTAATATCATGCCTTTGTATGAGACGGCCATGTTTGTCGACTCAGCTATTGCACTACCTCAACTGTGCTACTGTGGTATTTAGCTCAGTTTTTCTGACTCTCATGTGGCAGATTTTAAGAAGGAACTGTCACTGGTCACTTTTCCTCAACCATTAATCATCTATCAACCACCAGTATTACTTACAAGGTCACTGCATGCAGACTTGTAACTCAGCAGATGATAAACAAATGGTATTAAAAATGTATCAGTTCGTCAGGTACACCAGAGTCTTCCCACAGCCCAAAGACATGCATGTAGGTTGACTGGAATTTCTGAATTATTCTGAACTATTCATCAGTAATGTAAGAAAATATTTTACTTTTTATAAACTTGTTGAAAACCTGCATATATCAGGGATGTTGTTTAGTTCCTGAGGAATACAGTTATATTTTAGTCAGTTTCTGTTATAATAAACAGTATAGTAGCCTGTCATATTTATGTTTGTTTATTGTGGTAAAATGGGGGACGGCTCTGTTTTTAGTTTTGTGATATTGAGTGCATGATGGATCTATTGATCTTTTGGCACAGGACCTTACTTTGTTCATAGTTATACGTATTGTTGAGTAGCTCCTGCTCCTATACTGGTTTGGTACCTGGGCATTCATTGGAAGATCAGTCTAGCTGCGCTTATCCCTAGTTGACTTCCTGATAGCATAAATGCTTGAGATGTGCTCTCTGCCTCACTTGAATATCACTTAAGATAAAATCTGAATATGCGAAATATGTAAATGTAAAAGCAGAACTTTATACCTGTTTGATGTGGTGTTTGTGCTGGAAATTCAGTGGTGATCAACTTAGACATTATGATATTTAATCAAACTTTCATTGCTGTTTCATAATATACTGCTTTGAGGGAAGTCTGACACCATCAAAGTAACCTCAACTTTTTATTGTGGAAGCCTGTATTTTCTGTTATTGTTCTAAAATACCGTTTTTAATTTCGGGACTAATACAGAATATCATAAAAATATCTCAAATTACAAACTTTTAGAAGCAATACTCAATTGAGTATTTTCACACTTTACGCTATGTAGAAAAAGTACTGATTCACAACAGTATTATGAGCTACTAGGCTTAACAAATAAATATCTAGTTTTTTGTGGTTTCAGTTATTTCCTAGCAACAAATTTTGACTAATCGTTTCAGTGCCATGGAACTGTAATGCTGTAATAACTTCAGTTTTCAAAAATTGTATCCTGATTTACTTTGTCAGTGTAATAACATTTTGACTGAATTTATGAGATTTTTTTGTTAACTGCTTTAACTATGGGGTTTAAACGTGCATTTGTATAATTATCATTTGTAAATACTTTACAAAATTAGAAAAACAAATTGCAGATTTGTATTTGTTCTAAATATGCTCCGTGGTTCATTGACGTTTTTGAACATGGTACTGAAAATGGCCGCCCCCTTCAGCCATGCATCAGCCAAGCTTTTTATGAAGCCACAGATGCAGTAGGCAGAGATAGTCTTATCTGCGTAAGCAATCACAGCTCTTCTAACTTCCATTGACCTTGACCTTGACCCACAATAATCATATCAGCCTTGATAAAGTTTATTACCTGGATTATGCTCAGACCACATTGGAAGCAGCGTCTGATGGAATACCAGCGCTAAGATCCATCAGTAGTACCAGTCCGTCCATCCATCCATCCATTTTATGTACCCAGTTGTCCTATGCAGGGGCGTCGGCTCCCAGGCCTGTTGGCAAAGGCTAGCAGTACCAGTGTGAAGCAGAATGAATAATAAAAACTCTTTGTAGGTGGCGATTATCACTTTGAAGTCATAGACCTGCATTTTCTTCTTCAAGTCTGGTGTTACTTTAAAAACAAAAAAGGACGAACTTTGCCTTTATTTTGGTATCATCACATCTGTATTGTGTACAATAAGGTCAAAGTAAATTATACATGGTAATTCAAGGCCTTTGCCCTAATGTACTCTTGCGCTAATTACCCAGTTTGAATGCTTATTGCAGACTTGTTTTTGTTACTGAACTTATATGTCTTCAGTTTGGTCTGGCTGTGTATGTCTGTAGCTTTCCTGCCTTTCCTAGTTTTCCATGTGATTTAAGAGAGCTCAGGCTTCCATGTCTTTCTGATCTCACTTTTGCTGATCAGCTGACTCTGGCGAATTGAGACAGAAGGTTGTAGGCTGAAATTTCAGGAGAACGGAGCTTGTAGGCAGGAACCCTTGGCTCAGCTGAATGTTTGGTGCTTTGGTTAAGGCATGCGAGACGTCTTTGTCTCCCCGCGTGACAGAAGTGCCGCATTGCTGTTATAAAGTGCCAGCATAAGTGAATCTTGTGCTTGGCATGACGTAAAACCTTCCAGTTTGTGCCAGTTCCACATTAATGCACTTATAATGTTCACTTGAAGGTAGCAGTATGTTTTTCAAAATGCCAGATTTCAGGGATTAGGTGAAAAAATGTAGATTACCACAGTACTTTTTATAAAGCACATTTACATACTGTAAATTTCCTGTGTCCTTGAGTTCATAAGATATGATCCCTGATTTTGTGTCTTACACAGTCATGTGTTTCGAATTCCGGTATTACAGAGATTTCTTATCTTGGAAGGAAGATGAGCTCTGAAAGTTGTAAAGCTTGTTCAAGTCATTCAGAGATCCTATGATGAATGTGAACCGTTCACACAGACGGAAGGCCGGCAGGATAACTGATCCGAATAGCCAACTCCCTTTAATCCATGTCTCAGTTCCCTATAGAAAAATACATTTTTGGCCAGCATTACTTTTTCAGTACCTGTTTTGCAGTAAGGAAAATTCCAGCAAATTTCTATGGCTGTTTTGTTTAAGGAGATCCGAATGTGGGACAGGCTCATCTACAGCTCTGCTCTGGGTAAGCGGGTATAAGATTGATGAATGGAGATCAGATGGCACACCAAACGATGCCTATTTATGCTTGTTTATTGTTTCGTTTGAGTTGCATTTTCCTCATCATATACACTGTGCCTTGACTTCTCATATGAGGATTAATTAATAGTAAAGTGATGATACATATCCAGACATCCATTATTATGACCAATGCTTCAGCATTAGTATAAAAAGGTTTGCTTGGCAGAGCTTCAGCTATGAAGCAAACTCATACGTGGAAAAGGGCAAATAGTGAAGGTCTTTAGGTCTTTATCTGTCTGCAGGCCCAGACTGGCCTAAAGTCAGAACACAGTCAATGAAGTGGGTGAGTGGTGCTGCCCTTCAAGCATTTAGGGTAGAATTGTTCACTAATCATCGTCATAGGGCAGTTTGGCCAATCTCTATTTGAGCTGGAGTTGAGACGGCCTTCCCATGATTGCGTCATTATTACACCGTGTCAGACCATGGCTAAAGGGCGGTGCGTTGTTGTGGCCCCACCCACAGCAGAAGCAGGTCTGTGCAGGTTTTTGGCATGTCGATTGCACCAGCCGACACAAAACCCACTACTGTGAAATCCAGACGATTCAATTTATTCTGTAAAAATACAGAAGTAAAGAAAATTAAAGAAGAGCCCCCCACCACCACGGTTCAAGCCGTAGAGCGTGAAGGAAAGACCCGCCCCGATGTGTGGTGCGTGTCAGGCAGGTGTGTGCTTCGCTGATGTTAAGTCACACCCCTAGGAGGTGTGCCCTTCAATCATCACCCACTCCAGCTGCATCGCTGCCCCACATTTGACACTTTTCCTTTTGGAATCTACATTCATTCAGTGGGACTACGTGGCTCTGTTCCAGGATGTGGAGAAATCTCTCGAATCCTTTAGGTGTTTGTAAGAGCCCCCTTTGACGGCACAATCAGAAAACTGATTCCGGAACCGAAACAAAGGGATAATGGCTTGAATTGTGGTCAATATTTTATTTGAATTATATGTATTTAAAAAAAATGAGGATTGCTATGGAGAGCTGCTTCAGTTTTCGCTCTGGTAAAGGAAAGTGTTACGAAAGGTATGATAACAATATTTTAATATACGGGTAAAGATTTATGTTAAGTATGGGATATTTATGATATGCTTTAAAGAGAAGGATTCTTTATCTTTTTTTTTATGAAACTAGCCCTTTTGGAATTTATAAGTAAAGCTTTAAGCTGTGGTCTTTATTTGGGCATGTAATACAACTTACATAATATTTCTTGATGCTACATACCCTTCACTTTAGTGCTTAAATATGGGATTTTAAGTTGCTCATGATAAACAATGCATTTACTCCAAGTTTGCAGGAGATACATGTACATGACTGAGTATGCTGTGGACAGAGAACAGACATTGGTGAAGCAGAACACCACAGCTGACTATCTAAGATCTTCTGCACATTGCACTGCCCCTTCTAGAGTAGCTATACAATTGTCTCTCGGGATTACAAATTTGTGTAGGAATTTCAAATTAAATTTCCAGTTTTCGTAGTCCTGCTTAGTGGATGGTTTAGAGGACAGTAGTCCTCACATAGTTCAGAGATTCAGACCATCAGAAATCCCAGGGGAAAAAAATCAGCGTAAATGTAATGCCACCAGAATCTGATGTTAGCAAATTTAATCTTGCCCGTTCTTGATTTATACAATAAGACACTAATTTCTCAATGAGATTACAACACTCAATCTAGTCTAGTAAAATAAGTCACTAATGGAACATAAACACCAGGTGATTTTTAAACTCTTTGCTTTAGGATAACTGTTAGAATAAATAGCAATAATTTCCCTAAAACACAGACATTTGCGTCAGATCTCCATCACAAAGATCTACATCACAAAGCAGTCACACTGATTCTAGAGATAAAGAACTAATGCATAATATATTGCAGATAATCTGGTTTGTTTTAAACAGGTCAAGGGCTAATGCTTATGTAAGATGATGCTTCTCTTTGTAGCTATACAGTAGAGGGTGGGGGAGAGTCTGGAGGTCTCCCAGTAAAGGAGAAGAAGTGGAAGAGCAAGCGCAAGCTGGAACTGAAGAAGGCCTTTAGTCTGGATGAAACCCAGCTGGAGACCCAACAGAACAAGAACCTCACAAAGCAGGTTCCACTCAGGTTTGTGTCTGTGTGTGTGATTTATGTATATATTATATATGTCCTGTTATTTTGATGTTGTTTTTTTTTGCAAACGCAATTTTAGAAAAACCTGTAACTGCAATCAGAAAATGAAGAATGCCAAAAGTCTTGTATTTTGTTTGGTTACTTATGGTTAAGGTTGGGGCTGAGTATGAGTTAAGGGCATCATTGTTGGATTAGGGTTTTTCCCATAGAAATGAATGGAGAGTCCCGGTGAAGATATGAATGCACATGTGCATCTGCTTATGGGACTCCATGTCAGAGGAGCCGTAGGCATTTCACAGCCTTCGTGAAATACTGTTCAGCAAGTTCACTGTCATGCTCTCTCTCCCCGCAGGTCGCAGACCTTCGACTCCAATGGAAGCCTAGAAAAGAGCGAAGGCAGCGTCACACGGAGCGTATGTTCATGTTTGTTTAACCCCGAGAAAGAGCTACAAAAAATAGCCTCTTTATCGGATAAACCGAAAGTAAACAGAGGGAGGGGAAGAAAATCTAATCCTCTGTACATTCTGTAGTCCTGTGTAACCATATTGTTTTAAAAAGATCCTTTTTTTAATAGAGCCCTTCAGTAATATAACTAGATTCAGGAAAATATTCCTGTTTCATTTCAGACATTTAAAACTGTTTATTTTTTCCCTGTCTGCAGGGTTTTTTAAAGCACAACAAAACTTTCCACAAACTGTTTCCGCACATTCCTGAAACTGAAGATTTAATGCACGGTGAGTTCCCGGGTTTTTCTCACACGTAGGACACACTCATATAAGCCTAATGTACCCCACGAGCACGGCGACCTTTGACACACAGTGATAGGTGGAGCCGAGCATGGATGTCGTGTGAGGCGTCGTGGCTGATGGCAGGACGGCGATATCGCCTTGACGTCACGCATCATTGTTGGCTGCCGGTGCTGATCGGGGTTTGTGTAACGCAGGTGTGTTTTTCCTTGTCTAGCCTTTGTCTGCGCTCTGCAGAAGGAGGTACCTTATCATGGCAGACTGTACGTCTCTGAGAACCATGTATGCTTCTACTCGTCTGTGCTGCTCAAAGAGACCAAGGTAAGAGCCAGGCCTCGGTATTCAATGTCCATCTCACATCCGGTCGTTTTCCTGGAACACCTCTGTCTACACAATTCAGATAGTTCTCTGACTGGCTGATGATACTAATGTGTTTCCACAGGTATTCATTTCACACAGGAGTATTTTCCATGACCCATTTGGCAATGGAGGTGTTTGTAAACCTTTTTGTGTTGCTATAGGTGGTGATTCCTGTGTCTAGCATACACACACTGAAAAAGCAGAACACAGCACTCCTAGTGCCCAATGCACTCTCCATCCGCACTAATGAGGGAGAAAAGGTGTGTGCCACCTTAATATGCCCATTCATTTTACACCTTTTAACTGTGATGTTAAACCATAACAACAATTGTAATATTTAAGGTACATTTCTGAAATTGTAATCAGTGACAGTTTAATGTGTTTCGTAATCCGCTTAGTCTAGTATTGCTTGACATCTTACGTCTGTTTAAGACAGGGAGGCATCGTTCACTAAATCCTGCCATTTTTGTTTCAGTTCTCCTTCATGTCCTTGAGGAACCGGGAGATATGCTTCAAACTCTTGCAGTCTGTTTGTCCCCAGGTGGAGGTACGTACAGTTTGCCCGCTGCTTCTGAAGCTAAGGCCATACCTGTCAGTTCTGTGTACTGATGAATGCTGTTTGTGCTTCTCCATAGGACCTCAGCACCAGCAGTAGCTTGGAAAAGAGCTTTGACCGTGGCAAAATTGACTTACTTACGGTAAGGCCGCTTCTCCATCTCCATGCTTGCTGTGGAGCGTTTTGTCCTTGCTTGGTGGCCTTTTGCACATTTGCTAAGACGAGCTCAATAACACCGACCGTGTGCCTCACGTTGCCGCCAGGCTTCCAGTCAGTCAAGTTTCGAGGACAGCTTTGACCAAGTGGATTCCAGTGCCCTGTTGGAGTCATCCCTACCCAGCTCAACACAAGGTGAGTGCATGCATACAGCTGTGATAATCAGGCCTCTCACTGGCCAACCGTCCAGCTGAACTGCAAGGCAAGCTAGACCAGATCCTAAGCCAGTTCCTTTCTTAGCAGTGCCTTATGAGAAGAGCTCCACCGAGACGGAAAACACTAATATGGACAAGGATGACTCCACACAAGACTTGACAGGTAGCCCACCGCACTGGATAGGTGGAGTAAATTTCCTGATTGACTCTGTACTTTTAGTATAATTTCTTCAGGCTCAAGGTGGTGTAGCTGTGATTGTGAGGGCTTTTGTATGTTTTACTGCTCTCACAAACCGATAACATGAAACCATACAGTCTCATCACTATGGCGACTGGTCGATGCTGTAGACACTGATGTAAGACTCTTCTTAAGGTGGTTACTGGGTCTGGACAGTGACAGAGAGAGTCCAGTCTCTCCTCGCCCTGAGAGATTCCAATAGCCTCAGCACGCTGCTCTTCATCTACTTAATACTGTGAGTACTGATTTTACTTAAAGGGGCAGTTCACCTCAAAACTGAAAAGATATGCTTTAGAGGTACTTTTGGGCTATCTATCCATCTAGGTTGATCTGCTGTGAGTTACCTAGTTTTGGAGATATCAACCGTAGAAATGACGGTCTTCTCTCGAGTAGGGTTAGGAGATATATCGCTAAAACGTCGTATCCGTATCGTGATTATGAACATGCATATCGTCATCCATTTGAATATCGTGAGTGTTGTGATATAGTCTAAACACTTGTTTTCTTGCATAATTAACAGTTATAATTCACTATTTTTAAACAAATTCCATCAAGGTATGCGTCTGTTGTTGGCCTCATTTATCATTATACTGGTCACTCCATAACTATTAGTAAAACAATTTGGTCATCGTGATTACAAAAACAAAAAGCCACCTGTCATATTTTACTGTTTTCTACATATGAATTTTAGAACACCGTGATAAATATCAAAAATCATGAAAATCTTTGAAAATATTGTGATATTTTTAGGACATACCACCCAGCCCTACTCTCGAGTATAATGGGACTAAATGGCATTATTTCTGCGGTGTATAAAGCTCCAAACACTACATTTGAAAAATTCAACAGCATTGTCTCTTACCGGAAATCATGACCCGGGTTACTCAGGATAATCCACAGACTTTGTAGTGAGCAGTTTAATGTAGGAACTGTTTTCTTCTACCAGACTCCGCACACCAGTCATATCACTGTGTAGAAGATGGAGCACAAGTACAGTGATATGATTAGTGTGTGGAGTTCAGTGAGCCATACATACTACCCAGGAGCACAAAACAAACAGAGGAATGCACTGAGCAGACTTTGCAATGAATTCAATCTGAGATTGTGCATTGAAATAGGACATGGCATTTATCGCGTTCTTGACGGCGCTGTGAGAGCATTGAGCTAGATGGTGAAATTTCACAGGATGAGTGTCATTCTGATGGAGTAACTGTCTGCTCTCCTACCGCTGCACACAGGGTGCTGCTTCTCCTGCTGTCTTCAGGGTACCTTGGTCTGCGCATTGTGTACCTTGAGAAGCAGCTGACCTCGCTTGGCACCCTGTCAGAGTTCTCCCTACAGAGTGGGTAAGTGGCTCTGCCCTGGTCTGCTGAACGCCAGAGCTCATGGCCCAAGAGAATGCAGCTGTACATGCAAGATGCCGTCTGTGGCATGAATTAGCACGTATGCTGTACGCTGCCACTGACAATCCCTCAGAGTGACTCCAGTCACTTAGAAAAGATCTGGGCACTTCCTGATTTTATTTATAATTTTATTTTAAATTTTAAACCTACCAAGCAATGCACTATGATCTACTTCCATTAAGATCATGGCTCTATAACATTTTGAACACTAACTTCCCATCCGCTTCCACTGCTCTCTGTTTCTTGCAGAGGTGAAAAGTTCAGATTCAGCATTCAGCAAAATCTTGGTCTGGATTTGTACTTTCTGAACCTGAACTTTCCACCTCTTGCATTATAAATTGCCTTCACTGTTCCAGTAAAAGGCGTGGTTTGCTTTTCCAGGTTTGTCATTCCCAAAACTTCTGCCAGTTTACTACACACAGGAATTTTACTCACTCTGTTGTTTTAACTCTCAGGTACAACGACACATAATTTAGTGTCACGGCCGCAGCCTTTTCTGGATGAAATGCTGAGGATGCAGGTATGATGGAAGCTGCCGATCTGTTGTGGATCTGCTGATGACTGGATTCCTCGCCTTGTGTTCTTCCAGGACGGACACCGAAGAGTCCCACTTTTAAGACAGTTTTGAGGAATTTTTGAACATTTGAGGAATGATTTTGTCCAAAAGCTTCTGGGCGTTTTTCTTCCAGCTAACTCTGAATGCCCAGAAGAGGGCAGCAAAAAGCAACCGGTTGGAGGGTTAGAGAGACAAAGACCTCTCACGCTATATGGCCTGAGGAATCACGACTACCGAGGGCAAATGGCACAGACCCACTCAGTCTGCAGCATGTTCTTATTTGACTCTAAAGACTTGGCTCAGCACTGGGAGGGACCAGTGGGTTGCACAAACACAACAGTAGAACCACTGACCTTTGGTGCCGGTTTTACAGTAGATTGATCTTTATTGAGATTCTGTACTTGAATTGTACTCAGTCTGACGTTTGCCAAGAAATATTGATCTTTATTACTGCAGGTTCTACACAGACTGAGTGTAGTGAGCAGTCTCCTTTTTAGTACTTTCTTGTAGTGCCAAAGATCCATGCATTGGCCACAGCATTTCATGTTGCTTCATCTTCTGTTTTGCTCACCTTTTCAGCATTACCTGTAAGCAGGAAATGCCTGTACAGTATGTAATCTATTCAAATCTCTTGGTTTGCAAAAGTCTTTTATTTAACAGTACGCTTCCAACTCCTCAGTAAAATAATTAATGGTGAACTAACAGAGCTCAGTGAGCAATATATGGGTTTTATTACCTCAGAAAAAAAAATTCACTCCCATAGTCAAATAATTGTTGTACCATCGCTTGCATCCATGATGCTTAGGAACTTTTGACTCTGATATAGCGGTACATCTCGTGATTATCGAAGGCTGCAAAATATTCACTGCACAAGTAAACACGATCAGGTTTTTGTTTGTGTTTGTATGTTCTTCTGTGAAGTTTTCATTTCAGTACTTAAATGTACATAGTGTTGTCTTGTCTCTGTGTATTGAAGTATATGCAATCATTGATGCATATTGATGCATTGATGCCATGTGTAACCTGAAGCAAACAGTTATATCAGTCCAGAAGAAACACCTCAACTCATAAGTATGCATTTCAAAATCACGAGCAAAACGTAGGTCTTGCAGTATTGCATGTGTGTCCTAGATTCAACAGGTACTCAAGTAGACAACTGGAATCAACTCTTTCATTTACGTTGATTGGGTGACAGTTTTATTATGGAGATTGAACTTTCAAATATTTGTGGTCCTAAAATTACAGAATGCACATCTAATTGTACTGGCACAATGGTAATGTAGTCATTTATAGAATGAATGCTCAGTGCAGGCAAGGAAAAAATCTAAAGCAGTATACCATTATGTTTGCTTTTTCCGCATGAGCATTGAATTTGTACTAATCAACACAAAAAGCATGTGTGAATAGATCAGTATGGAGGTTGTGTGGCATTTATGTTATTTCAGAGAGATTCTGTTTGGAGGATGTGCAATTTGAGTAGATTTAATCATTCTTCAGTAGCTCATGTCAAGAAGTGTAATGTGATCTTACAGCTGAGCGCACTTTACAACTTGTTCATCTGGTTTGTGATCCAAAGAAGGCAGGAATAACATTTGGCTGAGATTGTAGTTGCAGAACACTGCCTGTAGGTGTCGCTACAGGAGCTGTGTGTCCTGTAGGTGGAGGAGGATAATCTGATGCAACTGTATATTGCTCGCTGCTAACCTGAGAAGCCTTCACTTCTTACAGCACATGCTGTATGCTGAGGATTTGACATGGGATGCTTTTTTATCAGCTGTAGGAAATTCACCTCCCTCTGTAAAGGATTATAGACATCTCTGTTAAAAATGTTCTTTTTTTTTTACCATATTTTTGGTACAGCAATAGTGTGGTGTACTTGTAATAACTGAAATCTCTGACCGTTAAATTATGCAAATACATATCATAAGTTGCTATTGCTTTTGACCCTTTCGAGATCTTCAGTTGAGCTCGGAGTCTCTTGTCTTTGCTCCTTCCGTGTGGACAGGAAGGAGGAAGTCGGAGGAGCACCTTAAGCAGGCTGGCTATAGTGGCTGTCAGCCTGGGAATGAATGCTCATGACGCACCGACAGGACCGGAGGGATGTCTTGGGGTGGCACCTTTGATTAGGAGCTCCAGGTTTCACGTTCCCACTGGCTTTTCACTGATGTTTTCTGCAGCTTGTTCACTCCAGAATGGTTATGACACATCAGTCTGATAACCTTTACAAAGATACAATGCAAAAATCTCAATGAAGAGTTACGTCATTTGTATTTTTGCACTATTTCAGTGTTGTCATTTTCTTTCCCTTTTTTTTTTTTTGCTATTTGAAATATGTCCGGTAAATTCCACTTCAATAAAACTTGTATTTATTTGCTGATCTTTAATTCAGTCTCTGTGAGACTTTTTTGGTTGTTGTTGTGGGCAAACCAATAAAACAGGAAAAAATGGCATGTTTTGTGTTCCATTTAGAAAATTCATGGCTGGCCTGTTATTAAGGGAAAAATACAGCAAGCTTCCTGCATGCACTGTTACATGAAAACAAGGTTATCTGTTCAACAAAATATTCTCCGTAAGGGCTAAAATATTTCAGCTAAAAAAAATATCAGTTAAGAATATATATGTATAATGGATCATATATGGATAATTTTATATAACATAAATTAAGATATTCAAAGGGTAATATACAGGAATTGTCTCTGTTGGTTACAAATGAAATCCAAATAAGTCGCATTTCATTTGCCCAGCAAGTCTATTTTTTTGCTAAACAGCTTTAATGGCTTTTCTGTTAGAAGTACTGTAAGTTACGAAAATACCATTTGAACTGAAAGGCTGGCTGTTATATTTGTGCAGCCTTTCTACACATTCAGTTTATTACATGTCCCAAACAGGGAAGTTTAAAATGTAGCATCACCCTATTCAAGATATTAGGAAAAAATACTACAGCTTAGCACCTACGAGCTAAACATAAAGGAATAGATAATTGACTTTCAAGCCATGGCAGCTGGTATCCAGGAAACAATAAATAATTAATATTTTGTATCTGCCCTACAGCTCGATGCACCCAGTTTAACTGGGTGAATGAGAGGTCTGTCTCCCTGTGCCTTCGGGTCAGGGAGAGGTCTCTGACTGCCATATGCGCTGAATGACAGTTCGGAGTACCCGACCTTGGACTCCTTGAGTGGTGTGCTGGTTAGCGCTGGAGTGCTGGGGACTTCAACGCTCACATGGGCAACAACAGCGTGGCCTGGAGGGGGGTGATTGGGAGGAACGGACTCCCATCTGCTGGGGACCTCCAACGAGCTCCATGCTTCTAAGCTGGGAGAGGGTGGTCTGGGTATCTCTCCTGAAGTTGCTACCCCCGCGACCCGAACCCCAGATAAGCGGATGGTGATCAATGGATGGATGGATATTTTGTATCGCTGTTCAACATGGTGCAACTCTACATTCTCCTTTGCAGATATCTGGTTCATGGTTGTAAATTGTATCTATTGTTGAGAATTACTCAATACAACTGAAGTAATGATTGATGTCTGTCTGTACCCCTTAGACAACACCATGCAGAGTTATAGACAGAAGCTTCTATATGCTCACTGAGTGAAAGTTCACAGCAGATGACAAGATTATTTTTTTACGTTTTGGAGTGAGCTGTGAAATTCGCGAGTGATGAAGGCCAAGAATTTTTTGGAATGCCTCTTGAGGTGTCATGGTGTTGGTTGGAGATGCAAGGTTACTGGCTAGTCACAGCTGGTTTAGATGTAACAGATGGAGTGCAGAGTGCATATTCCTTCTTCAGAGCTCAAATATCATCATCCATCCATTTTCTATATGTGCTTGTCCAACGCAGAGTTGCAAAGGTCCAGAGCCTATCCCAGGATCTAAAGGCTCAAGGCGTGGAATCACCCAGGATGGGGACCCCAAACAGTTGCAGAAATATCATCATTAAAGACCTAAAAATGATTAACATTAATTTTTTTGGTGGCACTTTACTTGACGGAGCACAAATAAAGTAGTTTTATGCTCATGTACTAATAAAGCACAAAGTCTTAGTTACGTACTGATCTCATGTTAATTCATCATTAATGAATGAATTAGTGATGCATCATCTCAACCAATCACACTATATTTGTTACTATATCTCTGCCGGCCTTCCTTATAAGGGCTGTCTGGTCCCTGGATGACCGGTGTCAGAGCTTGGTCCCCCTGGTCGGCAGTAATTCGGACTCATTTCCGGTGAGGGTTGGACTTTATCAGGGCTGCCCTTTCTCACCGATTCTGTTCATACCTTATATGGACAGAATTTCTAGGCGCAGCCAGGGCGTTGAGGGTGTCCGGTTTGGTGACCTCAGGATTAGGTCTCTGCTTTTTGCAGATGGTGTGGGTGTGTTGACTTCCTCGGACCGTGACCTTCAACTCTCACTGGAGCAGTTCACAGCTGAGCGTGAAGCAGCTGGGATGAAAATCAACACCTCCAAATCCGAGACCATGGTCCTCAGCCGGAAAAGGGTGGAGTGCTCTCTCCGGGTCGGGGATGGGGTCCTTCCCCAAGTGGAGGAGTTTAAGTATCTCAGGGTCTTGTTATGGTGAAATTCATATGGACTGTCATGGTGAAGAAGGAGCTGAGCCAAAAGGCAAAGCTCTCGATTTACCAGTCGATCTACGTTCCTGCCCTCACCTACGGTCACGAGCTGTGGGTAGTGACCAAAAGAACGAGATTGCGAGTACAAGCGGCCGAAATGGGTTTCCTCCGCAGGGTAGCTGGGCTCTCCCTTAGAGAGAGGGTGAGGAGTTCGGTCATTCGGGAGGGACTCAGAGTAGAGCCGCTGCTCCTCCGCATTGAGAGGAGCCAGATGAGGTGGCTCGGGCATCTGGTCAGGATGCCTCCTGGACGCCTCCCTGGTGAGGTGTTCCGGGCATGTCCCACTGGGAGGAGGCCCCGGGGAAGACCCAGGACGCGCTGGAGGGTCTATGTCTCTCGGCTGGCCTGGGAACGCCTCGAGATCCCCCCAGAGGAGCTGGAGGAAGTGGCCGGGGAGGGGGAAGTCTGGGTTTCCCTGCTTAGACTGTTGCCAACACAACCCGACCTCGGATAAGTGGTAGATAATGGATGGATGGATGGATGGATGGATGGATCTGTTAATTCAATAAATCTTTGTGAACTACTGAAGAAACTACTGAAGGAATAAGTCATGAATAACACAAGAAAAATACTGATCGCATATTCGTTCTCCATTAATGAATTGGCGCATCTTTGTTCATGATTTGTACTCCAGTACTAACTGAGTTATTACTAAGTATTTGAATCTGTTACCATTTTTTAATTAGTTTGAAAAAAGAATGCAATTAACATGATGCAACTTCATCTTGACTTCCATTTTTAACAAATTAAAAAACATGTACACTCATATATAACTGAGAAAAAAATGAGATGCATCAGAACTCATTCGATTTTCCTCTACATAATACACCATAAATTTGCAGCTGGGCACAACGTCCATCCCAAGTAGAGTGATTTAATGCATTGCTATTAGCTTGGCTGCTAACAAATCAGTACAAATGCATTATGCAGTACTGAGTGCCTTAATCTCCCTTCTCTTTGGCAGGCAGTAATATTATCTCCCAGAAGCTGACATCAGACTTTCTCATAAATTCTCAAGAAAACATCTTCTCAAGGACTGAAATACAGTAAGTCATTTAAGTTAAAGAGAATTTCTGAAGATTCTCACACATATTTTGGAAGCAACTCGAGAAGATTTAGCATCTTGTTCTTGAAGGCCAAAGAACGCATATAATTAGCCCTATATAAGCAAACCTCTACAAACACACTCACTGCATCCCACTGCGGGTTGTGTTTGCCACATCCCTTGTTAATCTGATACTAGGGTCTTGGGATACATTTCATATGCTTCACTTTTGACCCTGTTGTATATGGTAGATGGATGGAATTGAGGGCAGTGGAGCTCATGTCAGATAGCATAGGATACATGCAAATTCTCCAAGCACACAGGGAAAGGGTGGGATTTGGACCCCCAACCCTGGAGGTATAGATGTGGCAACAGCGGTAACCACTAAACCACTATACCAACCAATAACTATGCAGTACCGTGAGCTTGAATTGTACGGTGATACGGGAATCATGCGGCAGGAACGACATTAGGGGACACTCTTGCTCCAAACCTACCACTCAAGATCCCTAGCATATTGGAAAAGATCCACCTTTTGTCAAAGGTGTTCTTATAAATCGTTATTCGATAGTAGAATAAGAGTTTCAAGACTCCCCTGACTGCAGGGGTACCTGAGAGTCTCTGTTAAAGCTGAGCTTGAGAACTTTGTAGATAACTTTGTGATAAGTAATTTAACAGCGCAAACCAGCATAAATAACTGAGATCAGTGTGATTTAAATCTGAAACATATCGGGGGGGGACAAGCCAGGATGGGGAACCAGCCCATCACAGGGCACACCCACACACCATTCACTCACACCATTTACACACACACACAAACCCAAACCTAAGGGCAATTAGGTAACTCCAATTAACCTAATTTTGGACTCTGGAGGGAAACCGGACAACCTGGAGGAAACCACATGACACATGGAACCATGGCAGAAACTCGAACCCTGGCCCAAAGGTTTATGATCAAAGGCCATGGCAAAGTTCTTTCGAAGTACAATTAAAATGTTATCTTTGGTTCAGACAGCTGTAATTCATAAATCATTTACAAAGTTCTCAAGAGCGGCCAGGGGCGCCGTAAGGGGGAGGAAAGCTAGGACGATTCCAAGGGCCCCTGAGTGACAGGGGCCCTACAAAATTAGGAAAATAACTGGATTGGTTTGGACTGGGGGGCCTAATATGATATGCTTTCATGGGGCCCAAAATCTCTAGCAACGCCCCTGAGAGCGGCTCTAACAGGCAATCGGGCGTGACTCTCAGGCTGCAGCGTCCCGCGGGGGGGGCGTGGTCTCGGCGAAGCACCTGGCCAATAGCAGCTGGCACACCTATAACCCCCCAGGCAGATCCGCATGTTGGTCGCTTCCCTAAATAAAACCGAAAGTCAAAAAACAAACAGAAATACACTCGATTACCATTCAAACGGAATACGAGGAATTTTCCGACTTCTTTAATTAGACACAACTGGAACGCAATTGCCCCTTTCGATTGGTCTAATCAAACTGGTGAAAACGAACTGTTTTATTTGTTTTTTTTTCCCGTGTAAAATCTGAAAACGAATTACACTCACGTATATGGACCCTGATCAAACATGGGTAGTTTTTCCGAGAAAAAATGAGACAGATACGTGAAACTTAACCAGACGACTTGCAGGGAAATTAATGCGCGCCATCAGGGCGAGAGAGTTTAATACGGGGGGCACAATATAATTATTTAAATGCAAAGACGTATTTTAAAATAAACATTAAGGTGCACATGCCCCCCTTCCCCTTGGTTCCTACGCCCCTGTGTAGGCCTACCATTATTTTCTTTTTTTTAAGTAAGTAATTATTGTTTTTTTCCCAATCAGGTAAACCATAAGTGAAATTACGATCTTCAATTATGACATGTTCCAGTGTTCTGTGGAGTTGAGCTACTTTGTCGAGTTAGGCTACCGAAGTGCTAATCGATAGCCCTAACCCGTACCAAAAACCTTACCCTAACCCCTATAACCTGACCCTAATCCCAAAACGGTGGAACTGCACATGCGCAGAAAGGTTCGATAGCACGTCAAGATATGTATCTCAACTCGTCAGAACAGCAACAGGTATGTGGATGCTCTCCGCCACACGTGGGGCTTGGAGTCAAACAGGGCGGTGAGTCAGCGTGCGGTTTGTTATAAGGCGACACTGTTTCACTTCTCCGAACCATTACGTGGAAGAGCTGCCGTTTCTGCAGGGTATGTCTATGGCTTCGTCGTGGTTTCCTATGTACATGATTGTTGTCTCTTAGCCTACTTTTATTTACTGAATTCGCTTGTATTTGCAAATTGACGACAAATCGCAACGATGTCAGCAGGGCCGCCAGTCTTAAATTAATTTTGTTGTTGTTCTACGTTTTTTAAGTTTTAAGGACAGTCGAAATTATTTACGGATAGGGTGAATTTAGCCTGTGCACGGTCGCGGGGGGTCCATAGCCTATACCGGAGGGTATACAACCTAGGATGGGGCACCAAACCATCGCACTCACACAGACCAGTCAGTCACACATGCACACCTACGGGCAATTTGGCAAGTCCAATTAACCTCAGCATGGTTTTGGACTGTGAGGGGAAACCGGAGTACCCGGAGGAAATCCCTTCTTTTTCTGTCCCAACACAGAAAAAAATTACTTTAGTTTCTCCATGGGCCCCCAGTGATTCTGCTTCCTCAATGCCTGCCCCTGAAAATCACGTAACACTGCCGTTTCTCTTTTTTAAAATTAACATTTTAATTGACCACGAGTTAATCACTTGAAACCCTCCTCTAGAAGTATTAAGTGAAATACTACATTTGAGCCGAATCACCCCAGGAAAGGAATAAACCTTGAGGACTTTTATCTGAGGCGGTGTTCTGTCGATAGGCCTATATGCTCCCTTGTCGAAAAATGCTACCGTAGTGCTAATCGATAGCCCTAACTCTAATCCCATTTCATAACCCTAACCCTAACCCCACAAAACCCCCTAAAACTCTTACCTTAACCCATAACCCCTAAAACCTAACCCTAATCCCAAAACGGTGGAACTGCACATGCGCAGAAAGGCTCGATAGCACGTCTCGATAGGTAGGATTTTATGACAGAACAGCGGCACTGTCAGGTATGTCAGTTGCCGTCCCCGCCGGTTTTTTTTTCTTCAATTAATTGGTCTATTGACTTTTGAGAATTATGCTAAAATGTCTCCCTTTCGTTCAGGCCTGTACTGTATAATAATGTAAAATGTTTTATTAGTGTATTTAATATTAGTAATGTCTTACTGTGTATAATTTTATTAATTACCATATGCACGTACACGAAAAGCACGTTATGTATGCGGCTACGGATGGTTCGCTCTTAGCCGCGGTAGGTCTTGCTACGTATGACCCGCAGATACTGGGGGACTGCTGTGATATATCTGCTCATGATTCATATGGGCCTATATGCAGATCCTGAGGAATTCTGGACCTGCTCTGGAACAGAGGAAATGCTTATGCAGATGCACTCATTTGAATTACAGCCGTATGACATGCAATATTATTTTGTAATGCTTTGTTTTGTCCATGCATAGAACTGTTTTATTTCATGTGAACAAGCCAGGGCTAGATTGTGTGTATACACGCACACACACATTTCCAGTTCTGTAGTCTTGCCATGTTTTGATTCATTTTAAATCTCTCACCATTCATTTGCATTGCAGCATTCAGCAGGAAACCTGTTATCCATTTGCCTTGAACTCTTTGACAGAGGTAAGTGTAAAAAAACAATAAATCGATCAACTTCAGTTTGTGCCGCTTCTTTGCCAGTGTAAAGCAACTTGACATACTTTGGGTCTGAAGAAATAACTAAATAATAGTAAAAATGTTTTAATTTCAGGGTGAAAAATGAGCAACTGTAGTTACAACCTAACCGAAGGTGTTGAAAAAGCATATTTGACCATCACTATTCCGACGTTCATCTTCGGACTTCTGGGTAATATGGCTTTCCTGATAGCATTGTGCTTTAAGGGGAAAAAGGCTTTAAGCTACATGATGATCTATATAGGGAACATGACTCTCGCAGATGGGATCATCCTCTTTACGCTGCCATTCAGAATGTATTTCTTAAGGAAGACTTGGGCCTTTGATATGGAATCCTGCTTAGTTGTGGTCTCTTCCTCCTTTGTCAACATGTATGTTAGTATCTACACTGCTACTGCTATATGCGTTGTGCGATATATTGCCATAAAGTACCCATTCCGAGCGAGAGAGATCATGTCACCGCGGAAAGCCGTGGTTGTGTGTGTATTAATATGGCTGATTGTTTGCTCACTGAGTGCATTATTCCACAAAGTAGATGCACTCCCTGCAAATTCCACCAAATTTAAATGCTTCCAGCAACTTGGTAACAAGCCTTTACCGCTCAGTTTTATTCTGGTTTTGGATATTTTAGGTTTCCTCCTACCGCTGCTCTGTATGACATTTTGCTCTATTAAAGTTGTCAGATGTTTATCTAAAAGCGTTAAAGGAGACTCTGGAAATGAGAAGACTCAGTGCATTCGCATTATCATCACCAATTTGATCGTCTTTATAGTCAGTTTTGCACCTTTTCATTTTGGGTTCCTGTTGAAGTACATCGTGCAGACTGTCAGCCCCCAAAACTGCAACCTTTTGGAATCTGTGCATAATTTTGTTCACATAAGTTTTGCCATCTCGCACACCAACTGCTGTCTGGATATTTTTACATATTACTTTTTTATCAAAGGTTTCAGGAAGAATGCATCACTATCTAGCAGAGGGGGTAATTCGAGTCACTGACTCGCGACTCGACTCTGACTCAAGTCACAAATTTGATGACTCTGCGAAACTGGTGGAAAGACTTGGACTTGAGGGCAAATGACTTGAGACTTGACTTGGACTCGGCAAGGAATTATTTGTCCCCATACCTATGTAGCCTTGTGAGAAGACTGATGTGGTTTAAAAGAAATTCAGTGCTATAAACTGCTTTGTACCACATTTCAACCAGCTGTTCTGGTCATGAAGCCAGTGAAACTGAAGCGGCACGGTGAAGGATGTGAGAATCGCCAGGGCTAACCTCATTTTCAGCAGTGAAACTCGGAGAGAACTGGTTTTTTATTTTTATTTCATTTAATATTCAGTGATGTGACTGCTATCCCCTAAACTTCTGTCACTGAAGAGGCAAAAGTTTACTAGGAGAATCAGAAGAATTATTAGGAAAAACCACCATTTAAACGGTTGTGAAACATCAGTTTTCTGCCATTACATGCTTTTCATGCTGCATATATAGTTCATACTGATAGTCAATTCACGTCACGTGGGGTGGTCATAGTGTTTTGGTGCATCGGTGTGTGTGTGTGTGTGTGTGTGTGTGTGTGTGTATTTTTATATACCCACATAGATATTACCAGTCAAGTTTGGGCACGCCAAGCCTCCTACGGAGAACGATTGGTCTCGCATCACATGACTTGGTCACCTGACCTAAACAGTAGAAATTGTTATGGAGGAGTTTGACCAAAGAGTGAAGGAAAAGCGGCCAATGAGAGCTCAGCACACTTGGGACCTCCTTCAGGACAGCTGGGAAAGCATCCCAGGAGGCCACCTCACGGAACTGGTGTAGAGGAGACGGTAGGGTCAGTCAGTCCCTGGAGCAACTGGGATTAAGGGCCTTTCTTAAGGACCCAGTGGTGAGATCACTCTGCTGATCTAGAAATTTTAACTGACAACCAACAGGACTGTTGTTTTTTTGCATAATTACATGTGGTGTTTTATAGTTTTTTTTTTTGGATATATCTTTATAGAATAATTCTAAAATGTAGAAAATTGTTTAAATAAACCTTTCTGTGGGTAGGTTTGCCCAAACTTCTGACTGGTACTGTACACATAGCTACAGTTTTGTCAGATGTTTGAACATATTCTAAAGTCTTACATGCATGTATCTCCATGTATGACACATGTTTGCAATTTTTTTTCCTTATATTTGCATCTGTATGCCTGTGCATTTATATTTGTTCCATCAAAACCTTCAGGACATACTTTAATTAATTATTAAACAGCCTTTAAAGTCATATATCTTTGAGTGTTTTCTTTATGGTGCTTTCATGATGAGGACATGATGTACAGAGTCAAACCTTTATCTTGCACTGTGGTAGGAAACCTAATCATGAAGTACGCTTGGTTTTGTTTTTGCTGAGCTACTGGGGATGTGGTTTAACTGGGGCGACATGCAGGTAGGCGTTTCGCTTTATACCTTCAGATTGGAAGTTTGAATCCGCCATGATGGGTGTGTCCATTTTCTCAGGGTTCTCCCAAATAACAGAGCCCCTTGCCAGAAATAAGTTTTGTTTGGGGCCCAGAAACCCTCCTGATGGGCCCCTCTTGGTGGGTTTAGCTGATCTGGGGAGAGGGAGACTCTCCCTCTGAAGATTTTATCAACTGGGAACCTGAATCAAATTTCCCAGTGGGATCAAACTCATCATTGTAATGCCTCCCTACATGCCTGATCAGTAACAAGAAATTGGGGGGGGGGGTGGGGGGGGGCAGTCCCACGTTATATTTCACAGATGGGGTGGGGGGGGGGGTCAGAGCCATTATTTTACTATGTGGCTGCCAAATATCCTGTTTTTTCCTGTTTGTGCAAAATGTACATACTCCTACATCATGGGGCTTCCAGCCAACCCCCCCAGTGACCCGGTACTGGATAAGCTGTTAGCAGATAGGTGGTTGAATAATTTTTTATCAGTAAGTTGTATAAGGTCAACCAACTCATGGTATTTATGTTATTACTTTTCACCATTACAAGTATAATTAAAATTTGATATGTATTAGTGAAGCATAATCTTGATTTGACTTGTTCCTGGATGATGGTCACGGGTTGAGGTGGTGTAAATTGAAATGTTATTGTGTTCTTAGAAATGCATTTCATAAATTAACCAAAATCTACCATAACATGCAGTCCATTTAAGCCAGCGATGCAAAATGAATTTCAAAATGTGCAAGTATATAGTATAAAACAAATGTAATTTATTCATCTACCAAGCTGCTTGTGGTTCTATAGGCTTTGAAGCTAAACCACAGGGCAAAACAGGAAGTTGAATGTTATGGGTGAAACTATTGGGGGTTATGCCTGAGAAAGCAACTGTAAGCAGTATTGGCTGCAATCAAATGTCAGCGGTTATGTAACATGGTCAACCTAAGAGTTTTCATAAGTGTAAGTCAAGAAGAAGGTTAGGGCTGCTGTTCTGTGTAATTCTTCGCCAGAGAGACTGTGAAAGGTAGCTTCTGGTCATGGAAGGACGGAACTTGGACAGCCCACGATTTATCAGCATGCTAGTAGCAGTAGAATGTGGGCACGGTGAGCTGTAACTGTGTAAGGTATTATTCCCCAAGTGTGATTCGTATAGTTATGTTAGGGCTGAGGAAATGAAATGGGTGCTTCTGGTGGTATGAAGAGTAAGTCAGAAAACTTTGCCTTAGTGCTTAATCATAAATTGTTAAATTTTATTTGGCATGTTGCTCATTTAGCCTATGACATCATGTCAGTCATTGTAGGACTATTTTTCATTAATTAATGTCCCCCGGGGTATGAATAAGGCGCCATATAAGTTTGAAAAAGAATGTTTACTATCAGAAACTAAAGCAGCGCAAACGAACATTTCAACAGCACAAACTGGCATAAAGGATTGAGACCAGTTTTTTACAAGTCTGAAATAAATGGGGGGGGGGGGGCAATTTCACACAGTTCTGATACCTACCAGTTACTAGCAGGCAGTCCATGTCCTTCATTTAGGCTGCTTAGTTTGGAGGACTTTGTTTATTAAGTAAGTTTATGGATTGCGTGTAGTACTATTTAAAACCACATCTATAATCACTGCTTTAAGTTCCATGTTTATCTTTAATCAGATGTCATGTGGTGGCTCCACCTCTAACAGCTCTAAACAGTTAAAGTCAAACCTCGATTAAGCACCTGGCCAGTGAGACCAGTGCTAATGGTGTCTATCTCTCTAAAGTCGTAAGTTCCACGTGACGTCACGTCGGACCAATCTCCCGTTCGAGCTAAACATCTCGGAACAAACATGACTGCCTCCATGCCGCTGTTGTGTGTTGTTTCTTTATATTTTAGCAGATTTCGAGTGAGATTCTTTTTCCCGTGAGACAAACAAAAAACATGAACTAGTCAAAGCACATTAAAAGCTTTATGATATTTTAGTAGATCCATAGCGATATTCTTATTTCGAGAGGCAAACAAAAAAAATAAAAAATCTGATATTGCATGCTAAGATACTGTTTATGGTCATGATATGGTATTCTCTAAATGGAACACGTGCAATTACATTTATAACTATTAATACATTTAATAAAATAAACATTTTTAAATATTTATAAAATCGAATTGCTGTTGACTGTATAAGCCGCCATGTTGAAATAACGTCACAGGGGAATCTCGGACAACAAAATTCTGTCTGAAAAGAGACGTGTTTCCGACTGGAAGTGACATTTTTCATGACGTTTTTAACCAACTTCCGACTCTGAGCGGGATAATCAAACGCAGGATTAGCCTCAGCCTGTGCGTGCTGCATGGCCCAAGACCTCAGAAGAAAGTTGAACTCAAGCACCATCTCTGTGCACAGAAGATGTTGACCACTAGGCCCCTGGGTGGTTATAGTATGAGCTCACTGCTGGGGCCCCTAGACTGTACGGTACTTACAATGTGAGGGCCCCAGAACCCTTGGCCTTTAAACATATGTTGACCACCAGGCCCCCTGGACCCCTCAGCACTCACAGGGTGAGCGCCCCCAGCCCCGTTGGCGTTTTAAGATTGATTTGCCCACTTGGGCTCCTGGGCTCCTGGTGCTATAAGCATGACCAACCCACTAGGGCACTGATCATCAACTGGCGGCCCGCTGAGCCGTTCAATCCGGCCCGCGACTGGATTCCAAAATTGTGAGGATCAAAAAGAAAATAGTGGTCCACACTATTAAAGCAACTAAAAATAACAACAACTGAGTCTCTTGTCAGAATAACCACCATTTACGACTATATTTAGGCTATGAAATGGAAAAAGTATAAACATTAAACATAATGTTAAGCCAAAATTAGATTTTTATTTGATTTTCTTCTTGGGGGTGCAGCCCCCAAGGAGACTGTCTGGTAAAACTCTGGCCCTCTGACAAATATAGTTGATGACCCCTGCACTAGGGCTTCACGGCACCTAGACTGTGAACTTCCCTGGGCCCCTAAGCTACCTGGGCCTCTTGGTATGTACAGTACATGCTAAAACAAGAGCTTTTTAGAGTCTGTCACTAACACATCCCCACGGGGTGAAACGCCAAACAAATTTTGCCTGGAAAATGATTGCTTGAGGGGGGGGGGGGGGCAAAGAATAAGTAAGTAAAATGTATTTATAGGGGGGCTTTCACAGACAGCGGTCAGAAGACACTGAACAATATAAATATGCTAAAAGGTGCAGGAAAAAAAAACAAAACTGATGTTGGAAAGGCAGAGATTAAATTAAAACGAAAGAACTGAAACTAGTCAGATGCATAAATGCATAATGCAGACAAGATAAAAAATACAAATATTTGTGTGCACATAAATATACACAAATATATACACACATATATACCTGTATATATACATACACACAAATATATATACACCTGTACATATACATATAGGTAAATATATACACACAAACTTATATATACCTGTATACACTCACCTAAAGGATTATTAGGAACACCATATACTAATACGGTGTTTGACCCCCTTTCGCCTTCAGAACTGCCTTAATTCTACGTGGCATTGATTTAACAAGGTGCTGAAAGCATTCTTTAGAAATGTTGGCCCATATTGATAGGATAGCATCTTGCAGTTCATGGAGATTTGTGGGATGCTTATCCTGGGAACAAAGCACCCCTTCCACCTCATCCCGATGATGCTCTA